AATGTGTTTAATTTAATTGCATGTATTCAGACGTTTAGAGACCGTTTTTGGTCTCTTTCGCTGTCACTTTGTGCTTGAAGTCAGACTCGGTCTCGCCTTCCCAAATGTTACTTTTAATGTTCATGAAAAATAAATTTCATATTTTAGCAAAAATTTTAATTTGTTATACCCTACCTATTCTAAATCACTACTAGGTACATACATGTAAATTAAAATATAAACATGCACTTAAATTAATATTTAAAAATGCAACTTAAAAATAAGTGGCCATAAGTAAAGAACTAGTGGTGGAATTTTATAAAAAAAAATGTAAAAAAGAATTACATGTTTTTAACAAAATAGATGCATACACAGTTGAAAACTATATATACTTCAACCTATCTATTTATTTTTTCTGTTACAATATTATTGAAAAACAGACCCCCACAAAAGCATTTTTGCCTTAAGGTGGACATAAGTAGTGCCATTACCCTAAATTGGTATTGAGTAAAAATAAATTATCATGAAAAATACATAAATAAATTAAATAAATAAACTGTTCAAAATAAATAAATAAATGTTACAGTAGTAATAGTAAAATGCGAAGAAAAATATGTTAACTTAAATGTTTCTGTTGAATAAAATTAGAACAACTGAACAGTCTTAGATACAAAATAAAAGAATTATATGTTGAAATTTTCTAACGCTTGAAATACTTTATATATCTTGGTTGTTTGATTTTGCGATTATTATGAAATTTTATGATTAAGTATGTAGACCATAGAAACTGGAATAAAAACAAGTCTAGGTATCTCAAGCATAACAGTAACCAATATGTACCTACTTGACGTAAATGTTTTTCTTTGTGTCTGCATAAATTTGTCATACATGGGCAAATTTTAACAGATTTAATGGACTAGTGGCTAGTTCTCACCATTTCCACTTAATTGTATTTTTTATCCAGATCTCTTCAAAAATGTAATAATATTATATCTTTCATTGTACACGAGATTTCTGTATATGAACTATTTGCTCGACTATTTGCTATTATTTCTTAATATCAAAAAAACTGATTATACAGGGTGGGCCACCGAAAACTCTCCACCCAGGTTTTTTCTTATTTATGCAAAAACAAAAACGATTTTAATTTGTAGGGGAACAAACCCCTACAATTTAAATAGGGAAAGTACCATGACACTTCATTGAAATGTAATTTCATGGAAAATTAGGCAACAAAACCATTCATTGTGTTACTTTTGGATTTGGTAAAAAACTGTTATGTATAGTAAAGTGTGACACTTCATTTAAAAATTAATTTTATCACTAATTCAATGCACCACATAAAATTAATCTAAGTTTCTCCATATTGCACTTGCAACAAAATGAAATTAGCTAATGCCGAGGCAAACACAAACATTGACTAATTTTCAGACTGTTGCAAGTGCAATATGGAGATATTTAGAGTATTGTATTATTTAATTAGTAATAAAATTAGCTTTCAAATGAAGTGTCACACTTTACAATTACATATGTTTTTTATTAAGCTTGAGGGGGCTAAAATTAAAAGTAATGCAATGAAAAGTCTTATTGCTGAATTCTCCATCAAATTATCTTTTAATGTCATCCATGATACATACTTTCCCTATTTAAATTGTTGAGATTGTTCACATAACTGCTCAAGGTTTGAAGGGCTGATACCGCGATTAAAAAAAGTGTCCACACTAAAATAGACTAGTCAGATTGTTTTTGATTATGTATTAATATGAAAAAAAAACTGGGCGTAAAGTTGCCAATGGCCCACCCTATAAATATTCTCTAAAAAAATATACAAAAATATATTTATTTATTTATTTGTATCCAAGCAGGCCAACGGCCTTATTACATGGATAAAAGTATCATAATACATAAATATTAATATTAATAATAAACAGTAGGTAATTACAGCTAATATTACAACTTATTTAGTATTAAAATTAATTAAGAGTAATTTAATAATTAGTCAAGAGTAATGTAATAATTAAATACAAGTTTTCGGAACATATTAAATGATAGTGTCCAGTCTATATCAATACAAGTGTTAATATTATTTGCCAATCGGAGCATGGTCACAAGAGGTGACCTGGCAGTGGTAAGAACTAAAGGAATATTAAACATACATGGATGTCTCATTCTCCTCGGAGGTACATTAAATCGTATTCAGTATAGTAGCTCAGGTGAGTTAATTTAATAGTTAATAATTTTATATAAAAGTCAACATTATGATATTCCTTCTGGTGTGAAGGGAAGGTATATTAAATTATTTTCTTAAGTTTGCAGTTCTAACAATATTGTAGTCTGGGTATATATGGAGTTTTTTGAAATAAAGATATCTAAGAAATTTATTTTGTATTTTTTTAATCTCATATAGATTAGTTGGATGTTCCCCCATGCATACCTCAGCTTCAAATTCAAGTTTTTGTCTAACTAGAGCATAATAAAGAATTTTTATAGATTCTATGTTAGTAAAACTTCTAGTTTGCCTAATTATGAACCGCAGCATTCTATTTGTATTTGTCAATCCAGGTTAGTCTTCATAGTTTTTGTTCATTATTATTTATTTTATTTTGGGGTTGTTTATTGAATTTATTAAAAATGTGTTCCAACATATATCAGTTCTGAGTTGAGTCCCAATACCAGACAGGTTGCCAATTACTAGTTGTAGACAGATTGTCAACAATAAGTCATGGACTGGTTTATGTATTGTTCCATGATCGTTGTTGGAACAATAAACCTCATGTTTCAGGTCTTCATAATAGTCTGGATAATCATTAGTTGTTTAATAGGGACTGTATGGTGGTCCATTTCATAGAAAAACATTTCTTTTAGACTTATTGATTTGGATAGAATCAACTAAAAACACTGTCTTGAAAAATCACATTTAACAACTGTCAGTGTTGTGTCAATGCGAGAGTCTTCTTGAATTAATTTGTCTTTCATGTTGAAAAAGTCAGGCTCATTTTGATGGTGCTATTTAGTGGCAATATAAATCCACTTATCAAAATGTTCAATGAGCCTTTTAAATAATGTCGTTCTTAGACAAAACCTTAAAGTATTAATGGAACAAAGAACCAATTTTTATTCTTTTAAAACTGATATTGAGGAATCTCTACAACTAATAAAGCTATATCGATACAGTTATATGATTGTACTTCTTAGATTTATCTGTTTATGATAAAAAATTATGGCTCAATCATAGTTTGATGGTGTCTATTGATGTCCTTAATCAACAAAATTCATTAAATATGAAAAGTTTTAGTAAAAAAGGAATTTGTTCAGACATGTTACAATATTGATCTAGAAGAACTTCAAGGGTTTTAATTCTAATAGGTAGGTTTGAAATTATTTATTATCAATACCTACCAAAACATTAACTACACTATAAAAAATATGGGTATTATATTTCTTCATCTTCAGACTCTGCATTAGAAATAACATTTGATTCTTGGAGATTATCATAAAAAGGCCAGTGCATGACATTTTCTATGCACATTCCGAGTAAATGTTTTTTTTTTTTGACAAAAATTGTTGGAGGATTAGTGTAAACTGGATATATATCAATCTTACATCCTACATTCTTTTTTTTACAGATATCTGTTGAAATTACGCTCTACATATGACATTTTATCAAAAATGGTGTATGGATGTTCTTTCTCGAATCTGACTAGTTCAACGTCCATAGAAAACTTTTGGTTGTTTCAGTTTATAAAAATTAAATTTATTGAATTAGATAGCGTGTACAACTCAAAATGCTACAATTTTGAGTTGTTACACTATTGAACTTGGGTATCCCTAGTAATTCTTTAAAGATTGAGTGGAACCTCGAGTGGAACCCATATAATATCAAGTATTTATTTACTAGCATACTTGAAACAGTTCTACAGGTTCTCAAAATATTTGTTTACATTATGATTACCTAACCAGAGTTTATGTTCAAAGTTTAAAATGTATTATTCAATAACATATTTTAATTTATTGTTGTAAATACAAAATAAATACCTAGATTTGAAAGGGTTTTATTTGAAAATTATCTCTTTTCAGAAATAAGCCATCCAGATAATTCAAAAATGAATATAGGTAGAAAAAATATATAAAACTTGAAAGTGTGGTCTACAGGTACTAAAACATGTACCAAAACCTTACTATCTAATTTCTTCACAGAATAATAATAATTATGAAAATAGGGAGAAAATTTAACTTTCGTTCCTCCTTGTATGAGTAAATATTTATTAATTATTAAGACTTGATGCAGAGCTTACCAACTTATTAAAAAGGTGTGTGTCACTAGTTTGCTAAAAATTACTTATATCAAAACTACGGTTTAAGATTTAATAAATTTAAATATTTAAAAGGTTAAATATTTTTAAAGTCAATATTTTTGTTGGGCCTATCATTTTCTATGATTGATCTGATTTGTAAAAAACAATATTTTCTTATATTTTATTAAAAACACCACACAATCAATTATTTTACAATATTTAAAACAAACAATAACAATTAAATTAGGACAGTCCTCGAATAAAAATATTTTTTTAAGTTTTTATAGGTACTAAACATAGGTAACTAGTACCAACATTTTCTAAAAAATAAATTTTTGAATAAATTAATAGTTCCTTGTATTAATATTAATTCAGTACTATTGTCGGTTTTTGTCCCATTGAAAAATAAAATTAAAACACAAAATAAAATACAAAAACAAAAGTGGAGATCTCCTTACGAACATAAGTCATTTTTGATACAAAGTAATTTGAATACACATAGCCGCTTATCACTTTAATTCAAAAATAACGAAATAACTATTTAATCTCGTCCAAATATTATTACCTAGATGACATTGATAGTAACTGAAATACAGCGAAATATTCCTACTATTAAAAATTATGTCATCATAACAAAAAAATAGGAAGGTAGGTACCTATACCCAGGGCACTTCAAGTCATTGTCCCTATGCCTTACTGACAGAAAAATAATCAATTTTGCCGTACCTTAAGCCTATTTAGGTTGCCGTCTCTAGCAGCATTGTAGACTACGCTTTTGTAATCCATTTTGCATTCACTTTTCACTTAAAAATCCACAATTTTCGCACAAAAATTCGCTATTTTTACTAAACTTCCATTATCACTCAAGCAGGCTACTGGCGCAGCTGATTCGACAAGGAAAGAAACACTAAAAAACTGAACAGAGACGAGCGCATAAGCTCGTTGAGCAAAATCAGTTGAAGGACGTCCGTTGGTGATTTAACCGCCATCTTTCTGATATATAAATAAATTTTCTATTCGCAGATCGTTTCTCTAAAAAAAGATATTTATAATTTTATATGGTGCTCCCATCTACCAACTGGTGGTACAACGAACTATGAAAACAGAATATCCTTTTTTGCTTCTTTGCAGAATCGGAATCTGTTTTATGTGATAATTAAAAACATCTGTAATCTGTATTGAAAACTTTCCACTAAATGACTCAAGATGGAGCAATGTACATGTTTTTGAATTATCTCATCAATAAAAAATATACGCCCATCCCAACGGATTAATTTTGGACACATTTGATATTTGATCAATGGTTTTGGAATATCAGCATAATATCAGTAATCTTAATTCAAAAACGAAAAAGTATCAAAACGAAATTTTTAGTAAAAATCAATCTCTAATAAGGTAATGAAGTCTATTGATTCTGAAAAAATTAATCTGAATAAAAATGGGGGTTAAGGGGGTTGAAATATTAAAATAAATCCTACTCAGAAACAAAAAAACGATATCAACTTGAAATCTTCAGGAAATCATAAGGAGACGAAGCCTACTGATTTTGAAAAATTTGAATAAAAATGGGGGGGGGGGGGGAGTAAAGGAGGTCTGTTGAACTGTGCATAGTATAATGCAAAATGTTAAGCATTTATGCGAAAGATTTTCGGGGGTGGTGGCGGCGGCCGAAGTTATATTGTTAAAAAAGTACATACAGGGTGATACAAAATTGAGTGCAAAGATTTTAAGGGCGTATTAATCAGCCAAAAATAATTTTTTTTCTTATAATCATATGTCCTAACTTGCTTCGTTTTCTAGATACAGGGTGTCAAAGTTTTAAAAAGAAATCGGTTTTTTAACAATTTTAAATTAAATTAAATCACACTTTGAGACGCCACTGGAATAAATAATGAATGAAATTTCATAACACAAATAAAAATTAAGACAGACCTATTTGGCGACAATATCCATCATTTATAGTAATTAATTTTTTATTTGTTTTAATAGGACCTGGCACATATTTTGATTTTTTTTTTTTTTTTGAAACAAAGCTGGATACGAGTAAAGCTCAGGATGCAAGAAAATTACATTATTGATCGTTTAATCTAAAAAAAATTTAGTTGTCAAAAAAGCAGTGTCGTACCATAATTTTACCTATAAGTATCAAGTAGGTACCCCTCTGAGACGCCACTGGAATTAATAAATTTATTTTATACTCACCAAAGGAAGGATGACGACAATAAGCCTATCAAATTTTATTTAAATCGGCTAAAAGGTTTTTGAGTAATTGATAAACAACCGATTTTTTTAAAAAACTTTAACACCCTATATCTAGAAAATTAATTAGTACGTTATAAAAAAATTGTAAATAAAGTGTTTTAAATAAATAAACTATAAACAAATTAAACTATCGTCACAACATTATAGTTTTTACAGTTTAATAAACCCCCTGAACCCCCCATTTTTAATCAATTTCTCTCAGAATCAATAGACTTCATCCCCTTATAGGACTTGATTTTCCTTTTAAAATTTGATCAAAAGGATTTTAGAATAATTTTTTTTAAATTTGGATCAATATTCAATATTAAACATTTTGACTGTAGGCATGTAAGTAGGTAATCGTAATTCAAATTGTGCAAATTTAACCTTTCTCAATTTTACTATGGTAATCATTTCAATATTATAATGACCTCATAATACAAAATATTTAACCCACTGATGGATTTGGTTACTAATTTTTTAATATTATTTTAAGTAAGAGGAATAAAAATTTTTTTCGACGGATTTTTACGTTTTGGGGTCCCCTGAATCCGTTTTGACTATGTTCGCGATGATGTCTGTGTGTGTAATAAAAACAAATTTTAAATATAAGCTTTGTGCCGGCTTGCGGTGAGCTGGTTAGATTTTGGGCTTAGTCGGAACATCTGAGGGGAATTTATAGAAAGTCATTTTTATACTTTATGGAATATAGTTGTTATTTACGATCGGAGAAGAACATTTTTTAAATAAAAGTTTCTTGTAATAATATTCTCTATAATTTTTGTTCCATACATAATTTTCCTAAAATATTCCGTATTCGAAAAATTTGATAAAAAATGCAACATTTGAATATTTGAGATAATTGTGTAGATAAAATTTGGTTGTCATGTAATTTTCTAAAATTCTTGTCCCATCCATAATTTCTCTAAAATGGACCGTATTCGATATATTTATTTATTTATTAACGTATAACACTTAACCGCACTATACTCTGTATTAATCTAACACCACTGAACTAACTCAAAAGATCTGGTTCTCTTGAGTATTCTTATTAGATTGGCATTATTGAGGAGCTGGATAATCTCAAGATTTCCATGTTGGAGCAGTCGTTGTTGGTGACTACTGGCAAATGTATTTATTGTAATTAAAGGGAAGTAAAAGGCTCATAGTCTGTCGACCACATAAATTTATTAGGTTGGGTTGCAAGCGCTTTCGACCTAAAAGGTCATCATCAGGCAAAAAATTTTTTGTAAGTGAGTAGGTAGGTAGGTACAATCTGCAATAATAATTTAGGATAACAAAACGTTTTTTATAGAAATGATAGGTGTCTTACCACTATGTGTCCACAGAAAAAATTAAATATGTTGAATTAAAATTTAAATTGTAAAAATTGTTGTAAAAATTATATAAATTGGCACGTACTGCCTCCCTCATTCGAGGTTGGATATTGTTCAATCTTGAACCTCGCCTGCCTCCATCTAATCAAGGTGGTTATAAAAGATAATATCAAATTTAAAGTTCCACATGTGTGCTTAAGGCACCATGTGAAAAATGTAACTTTTAGAAAAATACCGTTACTCCCCCTATCCCCAGTACAAATGGGGTAGACGGAGTTTGGTTTGTGTACACCCTTAAGCCTAGGCTTAAGGGGTATCATTAATTAATAACTTTACTTAACTTAGGGAATTTTACTTAGCACCTTCGTCATTCAAGGGTGAAGTTGAATGAGAAAATGGTGGAGAATTTACGACATTTAACAACTGACATATGATGGAAGACACGTAGTTACAATTATGGTTGAGATAATAATAATTAAATTTGACATTAGTTAAATTGAATATGCTAAATTAGTTTTGTGACAAATTTTTAGTATAAATTTAAACAATTTGACAGGATGTCCAAGACTTTGGAGAGACCACGACTAATTTAGCATATTCAATTTAACTAATGTCAAATTTAATTATTATTATCTCAACCATAATTGTAACTACGTGTCTTCCATCATATGTCAGTTGTTAAATATCGTAAATTCTCCACCATTTTCTCATTCAACTTCACCCTTGAATGACGAAGGTGCTAAGTAAAATTCCCTAAGTTAAGTAAAGTTATTAATTAATGATACCCCTTAAGCCTAGGCTTAAGGGTGTACACAAACCAAACTCCGTCTACCCCATTTGTACTGGGGATAGGGGGAGTAACGGTATTTTTCTAAAAGTTACATTTTTCACATGGTGCCTTAAGCACACATGTGGAACTTTAAATTTGATATTATCTTTTATAACCACCTTCATTAGATGGAGGCAGGCGAGGTTCAAGATTGAACAATATCCAACCTCGAATGAGGGAGGCAGTACGTGCCAATTTATATAATTTTTACAACAATTTTCACAATTTAAAATTTTAATTCAACCTATTTAATTTTTTCTGTGGACACATAGTGGTAAGACACCTAGCATTTCTATAAAAAACGTTTTGTTATCCTAAATTATTATTGCAGATTGTACCTACCTACCTACTCACTTACAAAAAAATTTGTTGCCTGATGATGACCTTTTAGGTCGAAAGCGCTTGCAACCCAACCTAATAAATTTATGTGGTCGACAGACTTTGAGCCTTTTACTTCCCTTTAATCTACTTCGGACCACTTTGAGATATGGATAATATTTGGAATTTATTTATTGTATTTTCAACAGTCTCCACTCTAAGGTCCCTATAAAAATCAGTATTATGGCAGTACCAGGAAGCATCGACGATGTTCCTTAATACTTTATCCTGGAAACGTTGAATAACTTGGATGTTATTTTTACTGTCACAGCCCCAAAGCTGGCAAATTGCTTCATTCCCACCAATTCCTTTAAATGCACTAATCTGAAACAAAATATAGGTAATTAAAAAGGATTTATACAAATTATTTGATTAACAATAGTTTTATTAATATTGTTTTAAATTAACTATAATAAAACAATACTCATGTCTAAACAAAACATGAAGATCCACTTAAGCAAGCATTATTTATGTAGTTCTCACCTTAATTTCTAAAGAAATATTCTGCATTCTGCTTCCCATATAACAAGTTCACAACGCATTAATATCAAAAATCAACAACTCAAATCTATAATTATTTAGAATATAGGCTTGTTTCTAGCTGGTGGTTAATAAAATAAAAAATAAAATAACTACATATCCCATCTTCTTCTTACAAAAGTTACAAATCGGATATTCTTCATTAATTGTTGGCCTTTTACAACATAACTCATTTAGTAACCTTTTGTGTAATATGTATATAATGTTTCAGTAACATTTGCAGTTAAATATTTAACTAAAATATTTCAGAAATATTTCAGATACTTGTGCTTGAAATTTTATGTTTGAAACGTTTGAAATATTTCTGAAACATTTCTGAAATAATGTGTGTTGTATGGGTAGTTAGTAGAATCTTTGTTTATGAAGTTTTTCATCCCTAGATATGTTTGGTTAGAATAAAATTGCTAATTGATCCTAATCCCATACAGCATAAACATGTTTCAGAAATATTTCAAAAATGTTGCATTGAAACATTTGTAATGTATAAATATTACGAAACATCCCAGAAACATTTCTGAAATGTGTCTGAAACGTAAAAATGTCCTGTAAATATATTTCACATTAATATTTCTGAAATAAAAATTTGAAATCTTTTAGAAATATTAAATAGTAATATTTTAGAAATATATTCTAGTTTTTTTTCTAAAATATTATTAAACTAAA